GTAGGTGTTTGTGTGCATTGAAAACAGTTACGAGTATGGGTTGGACCTCGGCGTGTGACTCCCATTAAACGTGCCCAGATCCCTCCTTGGCGTGTGGCTCCCATCAAACATGCCCAGATCCCTCCTTGGCGTGTGGCTCCCATCAAACGTGCTGAGATCCCTCCTCGCCGTGTGGCTCCCCTCAAACATGCCCAGATCCCTCCTCGGCGTGTGACTCCCATCAAACATGCCCAGATCCCTCCTTGGCGTGTGGCTCCCATCAAACGTGCTGAGATCCCTCCTTGGCGTGTGACTCCCATCAAACATGCCCAGATCCCTCCTTGGCGTGTGGCTCCCATCAAACGTGCTGAGATCCCTCCTCGCCGTGTGGCTCCCATCAAACGTGCCGAGATCCCTCCTTGGCGTGTGACTCCCATCAAACGTGCCGAGATCCCTCCTCGGCGTGTGGCTCCCATCAAACGTGCTGAGATCCCTCCTTGGCGTGTGACTCCCATCAAACGTGCCCAGATCCCTCCTTGGCACGCCGTCGGGCTCCTCGCTTTGGGGTCAGGATTACTTCTCGTGGCTCTGCCAAGCCCCAGCTCCCCATTCTCCTCCTTTCTCACCCAAGGCTGGGGCATCCGAACCCCGATTTCTTCACCCAGCTCAACCCATTCCCCCGCTCCATGCTGAACCTCCCACCCATACCCCGTTGGCTTTTGGGGGTGCTGCTCCCCCCTGTCCCCAGAGAGGATGAAACTTGGTGTCAGAGGTGATGTGCCTAGGCACATTCCCCTGATGAAACCCCGGCCGTGCCGGCGCTGAGGACAGGCTGAGTCACCCACCGCCCCTGCCCACCATGAATAATGTATTTGCATCCGTGTCTGCAGCGGCTTCCCCTCCCCTCGGCGCCTGCGGGACCCACCTGGGGAGATCCGCCGGGACGGAAACGCTCCCGAGGGCTCCTCGGCCGAGGTGTTTAGGTGCCCTTGGTGCTGGGAAGAGGGCAGCTTTGGAGGCTATGAAATAGGCAGTTGTTTAATTTGTTCTGTTGCTTCCAGGCGCTAGGATGGGGATTTTCAAGTAAACGACAAGGATGGATTCTCCCACGGTCACACCCCTCCCGCTGGGGGTTCGGGACTCCCCTCGGGGAGGGCGAGGCTGGGACGGGAGAGGTGACAGCTCCGAGCAGGGAACACCCGCCTGCCCTCGGCGCTGATCCTGGTCCCCAGCCCCGCGCCCCCGACCTCCTCCTCCTCCTCCTCCTCCTCCGTGCTCTTGGGGCTGTAACATCATGAGTCACCCCTGGGATTTTTTTTTTTTTTAAAGTTCCTGCACCGCCTTCTGTATTAATCACACC